AAAAAAAAAAAAAAAGAATTAGCTGCACTACTGGGGCACCTGGCTGGCTCGTTTGGTGGAGTGTGCAACTCTTGATCTCAGGGCTGTGAGTTCGAGCCCCACGTTGGGTGTAGAGATGACTTAAAATCTTTAAAAAAAAAAGAATTAGCTGCACTAAGACAGGTTCTTACCATATGTATACAGGTTTAGTGAAATACTATCTGATTGATGCATAGCATATCCAAATCCGTATGTAGAAAACTTATCTAGCATCCTATGAAATAGGACTTACTATACAGTAATAATTGCTACTACAAAGATGGTGGTAGTTCTAAGATCCTAAAGCATTTCACAAATCATTTTTAAAAGGATCAAATTGTGGGGCTCCTGGGTGGCTCAGTCGGTTGGGCGTCCGACTTCAGCTCAGGTCATGATCTCACAGTCTGTGAGTTCGAGCCCCGCGTCGGGCTCTGTGCTGACAGCTCAGAGCCTAGAGCCTGCTTCAGATTCTGTATCTCCCTGTCTCTTTGCTCCTCCCCTGCTCATGCTCTGTCTCTCTCTGTCTCAAAAATAAATAAAAACATTAAAAAATCTTTTTTTAAGATCAAATTGTGATGTATCTTTTTTTAGTGTTCTGTGCGGTTTAGTCTTAATTTTTTTTGACAGTTGTTATCCTTATATGGAATGTCATTGTAATTCAGTTAAGTAAAATGAAATGATTTATTCATCTAGCCAGGCAGTAGTTGAGTGCCTACTGTGAGTCAGGTACATGTCAGAATAGGAAGATGGAAAAAACCTGGCTGCTTCAGGAACTCCTGGTGTCAGTGAGGAAGGCAGGCACATGAGCACAGAAGTATAATACGGGGAGATGTGTCCATAGAAAGACACAAAAGTATATGGACACACCAAGAAGGGAGGTCACTCAGAGCAACCATCCTTAGTCAACTACTGCTGCTAGATCACTTCCTAAAGCATAACTTGGTCCTCCTAGCCCCACCTCCACCCCCCAGTTGAAGAATAAAATGACTCCTTGTCACTAATCGGATCAAGTCCAAAGTCTTCCATAGTGTTCCTGAAGCTCAGCCCACAGTGCCCCATCCAGCCTCCTCTCCTGCGGCATACACATGTATGCGGGCACACGTACACGTCTGGTTTCTTGCGACCTTTAAACTTTTTTGCATGCTTTTCACATCTGGAATGTCATCCCCATTCCCTTTTACTTATCCAATCCTGCTCACCTCTCAAGGCCCAAATGAAATCACACCTTGGTAATGTGGTACAAGTTGGATTAGTGCCCATGCATGATTTCATCTCTGAACTCCAATTGCACCTTCTACCTTTGAACTTGATTGTTAAGTCATTCTCTGCATTATTAGTTCATTCCCTGAATTGATAGTAAGCTGTCCCAGAACAGAGACTTTTTCTTTCTCAAAATGAGGACAGTGTGCCCCATCCCTCAAAACCCTGGCAGAGTCTTGAACAAGTTTTTGGTTGCTTGGTTGGATGACACTAGATAACAGGGCTTCCTGCAAAAATGACCCTCTGCTTTGTAACCCCTGTTCTCTGTGATCCAGGTTATCAGACACCCATCACTTCACCTGCTGCCGAGACTTGCCACATAACCTGGGATGCATTTGATCTGTTCAGGCCCCCAAGGATTGAAGAGATCTATTTCTTTTTTTTTTTTTCAACGTTTATTTATTTTTGGGACAGAGAGAGACAGAGCTTGAACGGGGGAGGGGCAGAGAGAGAGGGAGACACAGAATCGGAAACGGGCTCCAGGCTCCGAGCCATCAGCCCAGAGCCTGACGCGGGGCTCGAACTCCCGGACCGCGAGATCGGGACCTGGCTGAAGTCGGACGCTTAACCGAGTGCGCCACCCAGGCGCCCCTGAAGAGATCTATTTCTAACCATATAGATGAGCAGTACCAGTGGAGTTCTGGCCCTGGACAGCTGGCCTGTGAGTCGCTGGGCCACAACACCATTTGGTACAGGGCTAGTCATGCCCCACAAAGAAGGGTTGGGGCTCTGCCACAACCCTGGACATTTGGAGCCCATCCTCTTGGCTTCAGTTTCACTTTGCCATTTTGCAATGCTATCCGATGGCACCTCGGCATCACATAGTGGTGGCACTGGCCTTTGCCTGGCCACCTGTAAGGCCCTCAGGAGGTGTCCTCATACTTCAGGTGGAGAGATGGACCTGAGTGAAGGAAGAGCGTCTAACTGGAAAGGGGTCAGAGTAGGCCTCTTGGTGGAGGATGAGGTCAGCATATGTGACTTTTTTGTCGTTCTAATCAGCGGGGCCCGTTTTGGAGACAAGAGGCTTAAAGCAGAAAGGGATGGGTGTGGGGATCCACAGTGACCTACTGCAGGCTGCTTCCTCGAAGGAAAATCAGCAGCTTCTCTAGAGACCCATTTATACAAAAGAACTCTCCCCTCCCTTCCACCACTACCCCCGCTCCTCTAAAGTTTGGCTGCTGCATTATCCCCTCTGTCCCTCCCTGACCCTA